TTTTACAGTATTTCAAAGGATAATCAGGCAGAGAGAAAAGAAAGAGTTGACCGTTTGCCTTTATTCCTTAGGTCTACATGTTTACGAACTTTAAAAGGCATAATATACAAATTAACGATCACAAAATTGAGTTTTATCTGAGGTCAGCATTTTTTTTCGTGTGAGTGCGCCGTGAGTTTTTCTCTGATAATTTGGAGCCGCACGAACAAAATGTTTTGGAACACCTGCATTAGGAAATAAATTTAGCGAATGTCATCCACATTGTTACATGATTGTGTTACCATAATGTTTGTTACATCACGCAATTCACATGAACTAGCGCCTCCCTCCCCTCTCAGGGCGGAAAGTCATGATTGATCGGTGCAATGGCGAAGTTTTCTCAATTATTTCTTTCAGTCAAGAAAACATCAGTCGTCTGACTTATTACTTACTTGCTAGAAATTTTGTACAATTTGACGACCAAAGTTGTGCACCTCGACAGCGGATGTAGGGCTTACAGTTGACAATCCATCGAAAACGACTGTTGGAGGTTTGGCTTTCTAAAAAACAATATTTTTTGTTGTTGTTGAGAATATAGAGGAAAATAACGAATCGTCGACTAAAATGAATACATCCCAATGAATACATACAGTCTTTGAATATGATGTATAAAACGTGCCACATATACAGTACTTCATTTCATACTCACCCACCGGAATTAGTATTCCAAATTATGAAGAATATCAAAAGCAAAAACATGTCTTCTCTAACGTATTCAAACCTACGAGTGGTATAAGCCCCAAGGAATTAATACAAGCAGCTTAGAGCCTGATTTTAATAAGCGTTTGGACGCATTAAATAGGCTACAACAGTTACGCTAGTTATTTGTGAATAAATCATATTTTATTCATAGTTCCATATTGAGCCTTCGGCCCAGTAACCAAGTCTATTATCTGTGACTGACCCACTCAGGAAAGTAATTGCTCACCCCTGTTATAGAAGGCAGCTGATGTTTACGACAAGTACAGGCAGCACAGGCAGGTTAACAACATACTTAATTCCAAAAGATGCGAACAATAGCGACGTTAAATTACGCAATATGAATCAAGCCCTATCATTTAACTAAAACACAAGTAAATTAGCACTACTTTATTAAACGGCAAACTCCCAACATGAAATCCGAAATAATAAATAAACAAGTATGAACGAGAGAAAAAACAGGGGCAATAGAAGATTTTGTTTAAGCCAACATATCTATTACTGCCCACGAACAGATGTTGAAATCGCCTTGGAGGGAGGAAGAAGTTCAAAAGCGGAAAGCGGATTCGCAAAAAGTGCAATGACCGATATTTCTGGAAATAATCCCAGGTAAAATACATAAGAAATAGAACATTGAAACTTTGTCTGGAACAATCGGTAGTCTCCACTTATCTGCAATTTTGTATTTATGACGTCATCATTTGTGGTATTACCATCACCAATATTATGTCTGTTTATTAGTATATCGAGTTTTGACGTTATGATAATGGATGCTTTGGTGCGTTATTAACATCTGACGTCTAACTTTCAAAATATTGCTACAAGATTAAATTAAATACGCCAATGAAATTTCCTCTAATATTACATAGAGTTATATATAGCACAAATTTAGTTTTGCCATGCCTCTGAAACAGGCAATGAAACTGTTTGCCTTATCAATTTTTGTGCTTGATGAAATACACACGTAACCATTTTCTATTATTCCCATCAAAATTAACGAAACGACGTCAAATCTGTACGAGGGAAATTTCGCTCATTAAGCCACACGTACCTGTGCGTGGAGGGCGGCACGTTTAATAACGTTTATAGTCGCAACTTAACCTGGTTTGATACGAGTCGAAATAGAATCGCTTGAATTAAGGTCCAATATACGCAGGTTATTCAGATAAATATTCTATGCCGTTAGGTCACCACATGGCTATAAATCAAGTATCTTCGAGTTACCTTGATTAAGTTTAAAATGTCAGATACAAGTTGAAACTCAAATTGTATCCGAGATGACAGAAATAATAAAATAGTGTATAATTTAATATGAGACCTGTTTTAAATAACTACAAGCGAGGGATGAGAGTCTATAGAAAAAGAAGAAAAAAACTGAAATTAATTTGTTGTCAGTCACATCGATAAAGGGAAGAGAGTGAAATTGCATCTCGTTTCTAGGTGTCATATTGGTATGGAAGATATTCACTTTGTAAAATCAAAGTAAATTCTTTTGAATATTAAGATATTTGTCTTTTACATTCATTTTGTTGAGCAATATTCTGTAAACCCAACAATTAAAAATTTAGGGGAAAAGTTGAGCAATAACCCTTCAAAATGATGCCACTGTGGGATGTCGGAAGGGCCACGAAGACCGTAGGACTATATTTTTTTTATGTAGTGAAAGTATATGTTAGATTGAAAAAGTTAGACTACATATATATATATATGAGCGAATAATCAAATAGTATGATATACATACTTATTCTGCTCCAAGTTAAAAATTCATTTCATTTCCATCTTTCATTGAACATAGTTGTTGGGTAAATTTCTTTCTTTGGTTCATTCGAAATGCGAGAACAGTTGAATTTCCTCTGAAATTTTCATTCATTCAAGTTAAGGATGTGTGACATCATTATCTTCAGATTAATCAGGTAAAACTGTGACCCTCTGTATTCATTCTTGCATACATCTTGTGGTAAACAACTGACGTCACATTTCCTGATGCAAGGTATTCTTAATCGATCAACGTGAATTAGTTTCAAGAATATTATTCAACAGAATCTGGACATTGCCAAGCATTATCCAAAGATAAATTGTACCAGATGCGCTTTTTATCTATAAATTTGAAGACGGGGGATGCGATATCGCGGTGTTTCATTATTTTTGTCATTTAGTTATGATATCCATCCGTATATTGAATAACGTTTAAATATATCATATTTTTTCTATAGAATTGAAAAAAAAAAGAAAGTAGGCCGTTCTTATTATGTTAGTTTCTTTTGGACTTTGAAAACCAGTTTCTATTTTTTGCAGTCTGCTGTGACTACTCAGTCAGGGATGTTATTATTATGCAGATATTTCTAGACGTTTTCATTCGTTAGTGACGTCATTGAAGCACGGCCATTTTGGTTAGATATTGGCATTCAGGAAATGATTAAATAAAGTCAGTTGACCAATCATGTGGTTTAAATTAAATGCAAAAATTGTGAATCAAATATGAAAAATCCACTCAGTAATGTATTTAGTCGACACCAACAGGTATAGCTAGGGTTATATAATTCATAGAAGTTCGCAACTTAGATAAAATACTCATGTAACGACTCCAAATCGTATTACACCACCTCGTGCGCATTTCACAACATTATTACTCGTGATATGAGTAACTATAATTACAAGATTTCCTTATTTATGTTTTACTAAGAAATTAAGCGTCTTGGCAGTTATGCAGGTGACTGAAGAAGCATATTCAGACGAAATTTCAATCAATAAGCGTAGTCGGAAATTTCAGGCTCAGTTTTCAAACACATTTGAGTGTTGACTGTAATTATGATTGTTATGAAACAGGTTCAAATTTCATACAGTTCTTATTCATAAATTTACATATTAATGACTTAATAATAGCTGCACATCACACCACTGTGGGTAATAGCACGTTCTTGTCTTCATTTATATATATAGCAATGATTGACGGAACGGATCTCTCTTGTATGGAGGCAAATTGTTATGTTGTCCGCAGTGTTTCCGAGAGGCGTATCTTCATGTAACGTATAGCAAGCATTATGTTGTGGCCCAGTCGAGGAAATCTTATATGTGAAAACTTATATATATATATGTGGTGTGCTTCATACGTTTAGCTGTGATTGTAGTCGATTTGATTAAGTTAGTGTCGCGGACTGGAAGGTTATATCTGCAATTGTTGTCCATGGTGGGATTTTCGTTGCGTGACTTACGTTCAATCGCCATTACGAATATGCGTAACGTACCTAAAGACCTGTTATTCAGTCTGTGTTTTGAAAAATGAATATCATTTGCACAATATCCAAGTTATAATCTTCGAAACACGTCGACTTTCCAGGCTTCGATCATCAAATATATTTCCATACATTGTTGTAGAAATGACTCACGTCGACTTTCCGGGCTTCGATCATCAAATATATTTCCATACATTGTTGTAGAAATGAGAAATAGGCAACAAAGACTCAATGACGCAAATTCCTGACTTGTCAAGACAAATACACCAGAATCGCATAAAAACGACTAAAACAATGTCATGATGCATTCTTCCGCTTTATTTACAGAACTTTTAAGACGTAAAAGACTTAAAGGCATAATAAGCACTTTTTGAGATGTAACAATATGTGCATGACACGAGGGAAAGCTATGGCATGCTTAGGTCACGTTAGATTTGCGATTTTACTTGGCCTTGTCTATCCTTCTATGTCAAACGAAAGGAGTGTATATGTTGTTCAATTCCGAATTGATACTCGCGTACCGCTGCATGTTATGAAATATCCTGATCACTTTATTAGGTATGGAACCCTACTGACTGAACCGGAAACTATCAGAATAGAAGTATTGTCATTACATGGTCAACATGAACTTGCAATTTGTATCTATTTTTAATTGACGTTACTGTACAAATAGCACATGATTTGGGGTTATCTATTGCATAAACTACACTATTTACATACGCTAGTGAGAGGAAAACAATAACGTGATATAGACAAAAAGTTTTGGGAGAAATGAAGTATTTTTAAGTTAGGAAAGGATCAGACCAAGGACACGAATCCTTCCTAAATGTTGAGAATCAAATAGTACAATATTTGCAAGCAGGTTCACTGATGCGCTACATTATTATATATGTTTCGATTGAGACGCCAATAAATAGCGGTTATATAAAATTGAACATATATATATGTGAAAATATCGAAAAGGATATGTTCCTAAAAATTTTTAATTTGAATTATAAAATTTTAATATTTTTATACAGATATTCATACTGAATAAATTCTCATACTCTTTACAAAAGAGAAGAATATTTGCAAAATACGTGTTTCACTAATGGCGCCCTTCAGGGAATCTATTGAAGCAGCAAAGTTGCCAGTAAATATTGTCATATTGGGCGGCTCTTCTGTGGGGAAGACCGCAGTCACCCTGCAGTTTATAAACGAGAAGAAAGTCGAAGCGTAAGTATGATTATTGTATTATATTTGACTACAAGAGGGTCTACTGCTAATTTGTTTAGGTTTATTTTTTTAAAACAAAAGATATTTTCTTTTCGTATTCTCCCATCCGAATTTCCAGTAAATAAGAATGAAAGGGTCTCCATGAAAGCTATAACTTATATATACTACAGGTGCGGTGTCGGTATTTTGTCTTTCTTTATTTGCGCATTGCTCTAATCACCCAATTTTTTTAATTCTTACAGAGGGAGTTGTCCACCCACAATTGAAGCTTCCTTTTACAAGGAGTTGAGTCTGACAGAACTATCAGAAAAATGGGATTCGGAAGCAAAAGAAGAAGGCGTGGAATGCCTTTGGAAAATGGACATCAACTCTTCTGATCAAGTGAGTTTATTTCAATTTCTACGGGATCGATAAATTATTTGTTCACAAGAAATTATGAACAAAATAAGATTAAAAATGTGCTAAATTACTAAAGCCATTCAGGTTTGCTGTCTCGTCTCTAATTAGATTGTTTTTGTCATAAAAGGCGTGTAATTGAATACAACTACTACCAAACTAAAAGAAAATTGTGTGTATTAGATTTACATAATTAAATGAATTTAGAAATTAGAATATCAGCAATTGAGATTATTCGTAAATGCTGACTGACGATAGATTAGAAGTAATTCAAGTCAATCAATTTGCTGAATAGTTCTTGTTGCTATAGTTGTTGGTTGTGTTGTGGTTATTATGAAAAAATCTGTTTTTGTCATTGAACATTTGATTTTGAATTTTCAGTAGTTAAAGTTAAAAATATGTTTTCAGTTGATGTAATCCAAATGCTGCTTGTTTAAAATATTGCAAACAAAAATTGTATACAAAATTTCACTATTTACATTAGTTTAACGGGATTTTATTATTACTTTTATTTCAAATATAATTTTTCAGCAAAACTCTACGTTACTCCGTAATGCACAAGGTAAACATCCTAAACGAAAAAATTCAAATAACAATGAATTAGACACCAATGAATTCAAGACTATGATCAAAGTCACTGATACTGCAAGGTATGTACACCTATATATATCTATCATATATACTATTCAATGTAAAAATGCTTTTAAGCTGAATTTTCTGTATTCATACGAAACTTGCCAAATCATTCATTTCACATTTTCAATGGCCATTGATAATAGTTAAGTTTGGTCGTTTGCAATATGCGGAAACCCCTCACTGTATTTTCGAAATACAACAATTTTGATACCTAATTTTATTTTAACTTGAAGAGCGCTCAAAGCCTTCCATACTTACTACATTTCTTAATTTCAGTTTTAAACGAACGTACGCACCACGTAAATCTTTGAGGCAACGGCTTGCCCAACGACTGACACCACGACGAAGGCCCCCAGTATCGACGTTGAAAAGTCCCATAACTAGAAGATACAAGAAAAATTTTGTAGAGTCGAACAAGTCCATGTAAGCTACGTCTAAAATATTTTCAAAGATCCAAGTAATAAATAAAATGCAATGAACTAGAATGGGTGAATGAGACGATCATTTTAATATTCATTATTCTGTTCAAAATGGAGTTTAAATGCTTAGTATTTTGTCAACATTTGAGGTTTTATTTTGTAGCGGTTTATTGTAAAATTAGATAAACTTGAAACCTAAATCTGACTTCCGCCACAGATTATATATAGATTACATAAACACGTATGAAACGCATTGGAGTTGTTTTTGAGCTAGATTACCAGGAAACTGTGTTTTTCGTGGACTTTCACCTTAGATTACACGGTAACAACAATTTATTTTTAACGTGGTTTATGCTCAGCATACCCTCATACCTCAGTATCATTATACATTTATGGTGATTTCATGACCTTAGTGCGCCCATACGATCTTGAGTAATTTTGTTATAAATTGATAATATCCCTTATGTTAATTTAGCGGTGTTACCAAGATAATTATCTTCTTTTCCCGAAATGCAATACTAGAATCATATACAACGGAGATTGTTGATTGTTCAGACCAGGGGTGTGCAACATACTTTGTCGGTGGGTCATATAACCAACTTATAACAGACATCTAGCTGGGCCGCACATAAAATTTAGTTTTTCAGTGTACACAACGAATTAAAAAGTTCTCACAACGCAAAATTTTATTGATTTAACATTTTAGTGGGATTATTAAAATTTCGAGTTTTTGCATAGTTTGTTGAAATCAGCTTTTACAGAAGTTGTGGCAACCCTTACCTGACAGACAAACAATATGTCTATTTTTAATTATGTGAGCACCTTTTTAAACATAAACTGTCAGATTAGGATTTGATCGGGGAAAATCCGAGTGTTGACAAAGGCCCTGCTTGGCATTTACTGTTACAGCGCGCAATATAATTAAATAATTGAACAAACTGCAGTCAATTTACGTACTTAACGGGGTCATTTGCTCGTGCCCTTCTTTCGAGTTCCCAGTTTGAGAAACCCAGGTTTAGACTTTTTTGTTACACCTTATTTCATGAGTACGATGTTCAATAAGTAACAAATGTAAATGCATAAATTTACCAAAATAAATCAGTCTCGACGAGCAGAATTCCTATTTCTAAATAAAACAAATTTAAATGGAAAATCCACACATAAACTTATTTGTGATATTCCAGCAATCAGGAAGGTCTGACCTGATAGCAAAAATAACAGCTTTCAGTCACGAACGAGATCAACCTGTAGTTGTACAAATCCAACGTTTTGTGGAAATAATTTCATCCAATTCTATTCATTAGGTATAATGCTTGCAAATCCGACACGTTTGCATTAGCTGCATTATGCAGAATAGGTGACATCGGAGTTTCTTCTCCATTGTGAAAATGCATCTGAGTTACGATACAAAACAACAACAATTCTTCAGGGCTTTTAATGCTGTTTCAGCAAGAGATAAAATGCCGAAGTATTTAGGTTTTATAAATGTAAAATGAATAAGTAAGATGTCTAACATGGATGCAACACTCTATTAGTTTATAAACAATTTAAGAAAGTCCATAGTGAAAATTATTTGATACTGCTGTTAATATTTAAATAGCGTGTTCATCACCTATTACCTATTCCAATTTTATAACAATGACCTAATATTACCAACGCTGAATTACGCTTGAAAATTTCCTCATTTTTGTCGGCGGAAGGTCAAATAAACAGAAAACACGTCTACTTCCGGTTGCATTGTTTTGCGAAAAATATTTATTTCTGGATATTCGGTATTGAGGCGTGCAGCAAAATAGATTTATTGATCAATTCGGCTGAATGGCATGTTACGTTACCGTTTTATTACAGCGAATTCAGATAGGATTATCTATCAGTTTAGTTTTACGTTGCCTTAGTACTCGGCGGTGGTCAAACCGAAGTGGTCAGTGTATCCTTGTCAGTAACAATGAAACATTCAAAAAATGGTCCACGAAACATTTTACTTGATTGGCTTTCTACTAAAACTGTAGTTATGAAATGAAAGGGGAATATAAGAAGGATGAAATGTAAAATGATTCTAAAATATTTTAGCATAAAAATTAGGATTTCATTTTCTATACCATATCGTCATGCGTCTCATATCGATTGAAACTGCTAAATTAACACGCGGTACATAAATCGACGCAACTTTCCGTGACCTGAAAATTTTATTTAATGTTTTGCGTCACTCGTACATACGTGACGGCCCTGTACGTATTTTACTATTACGCATGAAATTAACAAACCTTTCTCTCCGAAAAGAATGAGATTGTGTATATTTTTTATGGCATCAAATATGCATTATATATATATATATGATATCCATTAATTCAATAAAGAGATAAATCACATAAACGTGTCCGAAACGCATCGTCGAAACACCGCTTTTTCGTTGCCACAGCATTGTCGCCTCTTTACCGCGCTCTTTTGTTTTACTATTGGCGAAATAAAATTGGTGTGAAGACGTCATCAAACCTAAAAATTGCGCACCCTGTGGTGGTTCCGCCCTCATGTCCGCTGCTATCTGATAGTCAGGCGAAGAATGCAATACCCGTATTCTTCTGTGTGAATTGTATACCCGTACTAATATGTTTGACTTTCGTGTCCATATACTTGAGCATTGCTCTCTTGGTAATATGGCATGAAAGGGGCATGGAAAATTCAGACAATAACATTTTCCACATTTTACAGGAATGTTGTACCTTCGTTCATTTATCGGAAGCAAGACGGGAAATCTACAATACACGATGAAGCCATTAGAGCTGCCGACGCATTCATTCTAGTTTATTCAGTTCAAGACGGACGTTCTTTTGACACCGTGCAACAAATTAGAGATAAAATTTTGTCCGTCAGAGGGCACCCTTGTGCTAGTATGGAGAGGTCACAATCACCCTCTCCGGACAACGGCAGGAAGAAAAGAGTTGACCCATCTTATCATCTTGCGACAAACAGCAACAAACGAATGACAGGATTAGTTGGAGAGGATTCTTTACCTCCAATTGCAGTAGTTGGAACCCACATTGTAAGTTGATGTAGTTCGTGAAAACTGATTTGGAAATGAATATAAAATTACACCTGGAGACAGACAATACGTAGTTTTGAACTTCAATTAGGCCGATTATTTCAGTGCAATAAATGACCTGGCCAATATGATAAATGACATCTAAAAATATTTTCTCAGTGATGAAGGCGGGAAAAACGTCCATCAAATTTACAATATTTTTATTTTTTTAGGATGTGACTGCTCCTACTGCATCCCCTTGGTCTGAAAGTCCAGTTATGGAAAGAAAAGCGAGCAATGATCATTTGCTGAGTTCTGCGTTTTCGTTTAGTCCTCGAAGTAATGGTTCACGTAGGAGGAACGTATTCCAAAAGCAAATGTCTTTAGCGGCCGAAGTTCTAAATCAAACTCATAAATCGCGAGGGACGCAAGTCTCTTCTGAATATGTTCGAGGAATCGTTGGTTCTTGGCAAGAGTGTGTAGGCTTTGCTGAGGTTTCGAATAATAGTGTTGCCAGATTACATCGTGTTTTCCAACATTTGACTACTCGTGTGATACACAGAAGAACATCGAAAGGAAAAAATAAATCTTTGCCGCAAACACCCAGAAAACGGTTGGACTCGGTGCTGAGCATTCTACGCAGCAGCAGACAATCTACTCCAGATGGCAGTGAGTCGGGCAAAAAATCGTGCTGGCATTCTTGTTTTTGTTGAAAATAAACATGTTTCATTTCATTTTACTCGTTTTCGAGTCATGTGACATTTACACAAAAACAAATAAGCGTTGTTTTTATTTACACCATCCGTTGCATTTTTATTTATTTGTAAATTGTCTTGTAATGTTTCTTCCGTTGCCATTCGCTGATGCTCCTTTTCTATTCTTTATCTTCAATATTCTTTTACTACTGTATTTGCTTTTTTTTCAATCTTCTATTATAGTTATCATCCATGTTTCTATTTATTTGCCGCAACTTCCTTCTCGTTGTAAAATTCGTTTCCAGAATATTCTGACTGTTTTTTTTGGGGTGTATACGGTGGGAAAGAAGGTAGAATTAAATAATCAAAAATGTGAGATTCAAGAATCCATTTTTTGATCGTAGAAATCTGAGGTATGAGGTAGCCAACTTTAATATATGGTAGAACGATGGAAAAATGGGAACCAACATGTACTTTTCCTGCTCAAAATTCTCGTGGTCAGGGGTGCATAGCCTTAAATTCAGAATTTAAAGTCGCAATGCAGTATGACTGTAAATATGCCGTTTATATCCTATATAACAGGGATAGTCAACACGTCGATCGCCACGATAAATTAGATACTGAAGTTTGAGCAGTCATGTAACATTCATGATTTGAGAATATTTACTCTTCGCTGTCTAGATAATATGTAGGCCTATAGCCCTATAGCCTACTGGGCAAAGATTTTTGAGAATTTCCAACTTTTACGACTAAAAATTACGCAGACCTTAGATCTGAATTGTATGATTCGAATAAATATTAAATAAATTATGAAAATTTACTCCGGGTACAATTACATGATTGAATTAACAAATTAAATGGAACATAATGAATACAAATTTTTGTGACGATTTTGTTTAAAATGCGCCCACAGAGCCGAGATTTCAGTCGATCGCGGTCGTAAGCAGGTTGGCCACATCCACTACCCAGATGGGACGGTGCTTTCATAGATGTGGCGTTATTACAGTAACACATTTGATGGCGTCGTCAAATTTTAATGTGTTGAAACGCCAAATTAAAACTGTTCATTCGTTTTTGAAGTTAGTAGCCCCCCAACTCATCAAAAGCACTGACAACGAAATGGCGACATATGTGACGGGAAGTTCACCTCTAAGATACATCAATTTCAAATATATATATATTTTTTCAAATCTCAAAATATAAAGTAGCCTACCAATTTCGGTATATCGTTTGCTTCTTATCAGTTATGCATGACTGTTATCTCAGTTCTTCTTTCGCAGCCTTATGTGCCCCCACTTTTCGAGCTAATATCGACGCGCGGGGTGCGAGTGAAAGATATACACATATCACTTTACATGTGCCAATTAACGGGCCAAGCATTGTAAAATGTTAAATAAAATAGGCTACAACACAAGACAATAGCGCGACGATGCCTTTTATGGTAATTGAACTGATGCCCATGCAAAGGGCTGCGGTTGTAAACAAACAATTGCATTTTGACTACTAAAGATATAGAAAGCACATTTCTTTGGGCGAGATTTGTTCTCAAAATTTAATCATCGTGTATGCAGTCCAATGTCCAGGCGTATATTCCCCTTATCTGCGACGTTCTCGTCAACGAGAAAGGAGAAAAGCGTCGAAAGTGACGCAACTGGCGGATGAATACAATTGCCAGTCGTCGCGTGATCATTGTTTTCGCTCGTCGCCGCCGAAACGGCTTCCGTAGTTTCGGAGTTTTTACGGCGGGGTATTTCGTTTTCGATATCTAAGTTACTTGGTTAATAATGGGAATTCATATTGTTTTCTGTTAGAGTCTGTTATGTTTCTGTATTGCTGTACTCTCAAGGTACGCTCTTATCTGCTTTTTGAGTAACTGTATCTATCTAAATCGATAGTTTATAGCAGTATACTATAGGGGTACTGTATATATTTAACTTATACAGTAGATATATAACGTCAGATATCAGCGTATAGTTTTATCTTAATCTTAATGTGATAACGTTACTCAAAAGTACCTTACTGTAGTATACTATCAGACTATAAGTGTTGTAAATTGATAAATTTGAGTAATCGGCTATCGCTGACACTGTTCTTTGGTTGTCTGGCTGTTGGCGAAAAGACGCTGGCGATCGCCGTATCGGTAGGCTAGCCCGCGGCTCGCTTCAAAATTTAATAAATTTGAGAACATTATAGCATTATGCATCGGTTATACTGCAGTGATGCTTTTGGAGAGTAACATTCAGACATTAAGTTTTTTAAAGTTCACATTATCTTTAATTCTATTAACGTTTTAGCACCTGTGTGAGAAGCCTGGTTCAAAAGAAATAAAATTCGTTAAAACCAGCTGTCATAAGTATACTACAGTGTTTGTCAGGTATTGCTTATTGTAGGCTGCTGTATTATAAACATTGGCAAAGACGACAAAATATTACAGCATTAGGGCTGTGATGGGTTACTATCGGGAAGAGTTATGATATATAACCATATATACATGTGGAATTATCGTTTATTGTGTGTTCTTCGTGCTATATTATACCATATACTAATGCCAGCGTGCTATAACTAATTATGAATACTACTATATTCTGATATTTAAGTCTACATAGTGTTCTACCAATTTACTATTTTGAATAAAAAAAGTAGTACTCAGTTCCGGTTTTTATAAACAATCACACTTAATAATAACATTGAAAAAAAAATCAGAAGAAAATGTTATTAATTTGATCTTTATAGTACAGTATTAGAATATTGTAACCAAATGTAGCAAGCACAGCCCTATCCTAAAATCTTAAAATATTGTAATATAACTTATTTTGCACTTTCAACCCTTCTTTAGTTCACTTAATTTAAGGAATCTACATTGCACTACTTTGAAACGCATATATTGGTTGGTTTTGCTACCAGATTTGGAGAGTTCACTTATATTTTTTGGATTATACTTGTGGTACCATCAAATAAATAATAACAGGTGGTTTCAGGACGTACATTTACTTTCGGATTTCATCTGTGGAAGTATTCGGTATCACAAAAATTGGAAGTATGAAGTTTGTGGAATTATTAATTTTCTGTATCTGTCTAATAGGCATTAGTCATGCCCAAATGGTAAGTTCTATATTCTATTTACTTTAGTAGTTTCTCTGATTACCTTTTACCCAGCTTATGGCTATTATTTCAATTGCCAGGATTTATATTTCGAACCTGAAGAATCATCTGGAGATGGAGCGACACATACCGTAAATCCAGACTTGCCTATTGACGATGAAGACACAGATGATGATGAAGGCTCAGGTATGAATTTTAGTGAAAGTAATGTTAGCCTCTTTTCAATTTTCAATGTATGCAGAATTTTAAGGCTGTATTTGAAATGTATTCAATGTGGTTTTAAACAGGAAATATGCATGAGCAACCACATTATTTGACTGCGTTATTAATATTACTTGAAAAATTGGTGGTGTTGTTGAAATATAGTGCTATCTCTGATTGTAAGTACTGAGATGCATTTTGAATTGACAAGCATACATATGTATTAGCTATTATCCTGCACCCTGTGTCCGCCTGTGTATTGAATATTTCTTTTCCCCTGAATAATTCATGTTGCTTGCCTCTGTTGCTCTCTGCACATTTTTAAAAAGGTTTTAAATTGATTTGCTTACTTTATTTGGCATCATGCATATGGTGTTTTATTCATTTCATTTAGCTTAGAATATCAATGTTGTTCAATATTTTTAAACTTCAGTGCACCAATTTTTAATTGTTATATATCTATAATATACCTTTTTTGTTATTTACTTCAAGTTCTTTTATTCATTGTTTACACAAGTACATAACTGCAGTTTAGCTTACTGTACAAGAAATAACGTTCATGTGCCATTGTTTTGAAAATTCTGTCAAGCCTAGATGATGGATCCTTATACTAGCGTTGTAATTTGTATCCATGATTGACATGGTTTCAATTCCAGATTAGGAAGTAGTTCATTTCCTCTATTACCATATTATATTTCACCATTAAAGCCTGTCATAATATTGAGACTTTGCCTAGTATACAATCAGTGCATTTTCAATATAAATTCTGATCCACTCCTTGTTTTACTATCATTGATATCTTTGGTATGTGGGTTTGTACCAGTAGTATAGTTTAATATCTTCCAGAATAATATGTCCATTTCTATAGTTGAATAGTCTTTTACTGGCTACTCCAATTTAATGTGACAATTGAAATTGTGAATTATGTTAAATAATATGAAGTGTTGTTTTACTGTATTGGAGATATTAATTTATCTCAAACTATTGGGAAGTCATCTTGCAGTATATAATTAATTCCAAGGCTTTATACCAATTGATGACGATCAAGCGACAACCACTACATTTATTGAAACACATCCAACCACTATGTCTTCTACTGTAATAACCGAGACGATCGCACCTGTATTTGCTGAAGAAGGAGAAATACATTCTATGACAAGCACGGAAATTCCGAAGTTGCATGAAGTATCCAGCATTTTGACAGATTCAGGTGCTAAAGCAGTGACTGGTAGTGATGTCTTAGTAGACGATACAACAAACCGATGTTGCTTGTTGTACTATGCATGATACATTCGATTCATGGGTCATATTTAGACTTGAAAATAATTTCAACTGGTTACAGAATGCTAAAAAAAAACTGGATTTTATTTCATTTATAGCCATGAACAAAAAGTTGCATAAGTATTTTCTGGAAATTTTTTAAAAATATAAAAAAAACGGACCTATCAAATGTACTTAAATAGTCCATGTTCAAGAAAGAGTATATTTTTAAATAAAATAAATTTAAAGGTACGAAAGCTCATCGAGTGTGCTTTGTTGGATTTCTTTAAATTAAAGTACCAGTAATGGAATTAACACAATCAAGCTTTTTGTTAAGAAATCTTGAATATGAAACTTATTTAACTTTTTCTACATTGATGTGAGATATTACATTAACAGTTTCATTTTATAGTTTTGTCTATCTAATACATTTTGAAATTATTGTTTTCAATCGGAATGGATTTTTTGTTTTGTTTCTATGCATGCTTGAAGTATAAAACATTGTGTGGTATTGTCTCTTTGTGAAAATTTTCATTTTTGACTAAGAATATTTATCATATTTCATCACACATATTTACTTTTGTTGCCACTGTTTGCCACAATATTTCATGTGCCCTAAGAAGTAATATATAATACACTCGATTACATTCATGAATTGCTTTCATCAATCTTTTAGGTAAAGTTAGATGGAATAAATTGCATCAACCTGCCCTCTTATCTTTTACCATTCAGTTTTACTGTGAAAGTAAAATTGTGATATACCACAAATTATACTTCCTAAAATTTAACCAAGGAAAATTCTCGGCAGTGTCTCTAAGATTCTCAACAGTGTTACATGACTGCTAAGTAACAAGTTTTCATCTTTGCACTTATTGAGACATCAGCAATAGCTGTTTTAATTATTAATGATGATGTTATGTTTAATTAGTTTCACATTATATTATTTTGTTCATATTTTTTTCATAGCATGTGTTTGTTTGGTGTGAATTGAATCATCTTCATTTTACACACACATATATATATATATAAAACTAGCTTTTTTAAAGAATATTCATATCTTTCATAAATATTGTATTTTATGACATTTTTTAGCACAAAATGTTCCAATTACCGGTACATAAATTTTTAAATTTGATGTCTTATTTTGGGCACTGATATATAAATGAGAAATTGTACTGTTTTAAGCTTCAACGGGCATTTGAAAATGCAAGCCACCTAATCTTTTACGCCACTAATCAATTTTTGTATGACGTTGTTTTTTGATTTTTGAACTGTAGTAATTTGATGTGGTGATGTAGATTATTGTTTTTACATTTCACACGTTTGTTATTTATTGTATTAACTTGTCAATTTTCAGCAACATATATTTTTATCAATCTATATTATGATAACATTTATCATTTTGTTTCATAATTTAGAATGGTGGGAATGAAGGCATTTGTTAGGTGCTTTTAGTCCTAACATTTTATATGTGATATGTGCTTGTCATTGGCATACTTGAAGCATATATTTTGAAATCTCAATTAATGAAAATCTTTTACAACAGGTGCACCCATTCCAACAAGTGAAAATGACGATGATGCTGACATTGAAGAAATAGATGTTGGTGTAAGTTTTTTTTCACCAGTAACTGGTTGTTTAAAACACTTAATTGATCTTAATTTGTCTTCAACTTGGCGACATGTCAAACCTTTTTTTATTGCGAATTCCAATGGTTCTCATTTTAGTTTTTTCTTATTACAGGAAGAACCTGAAGTAAATGGAGAGAAAGCTAAAACACCTATCAAGGTAAATTGTCATATCCTTCAATACTTCAATATGACTTTATTTTTGTATGTATCAGTATCACTTAAATACTATATTATTGTATATTCTGATCTCACTTGTGCTGTGAGTTTATGAATAACTATTATGAAGCGATGCATCTCATCTAATGTAACAATTTCTGGGTAATGAGCAATATTTTTTACTTATTAATGCTCTTTGTTTTCCTCAGGTTCATGAACTGCCAAAAGACCTGAACAAAGGAACAAAAGGAGTCGGAACGAAAGGAGTCTTAGCCGAGGAGGTATAATTTTCTGTTGTTTTGTTAAATAAAAAAATATTTCCCTGGCTGGAATCCTAAATGAATTTTTGACATAAAACTCTTTCCCCAACAGGATGAACCAGAGCAGAAGAATGTAAAAACAACTGAGTTAGAGGATGAAGAAATGGAACCAGTTGGTGCCTCACCAACCAAAGATCCATCATTTTTGGGTGCAATTATTGCTGGGGCCTGTATAGGCCTTCTATTCGCAATATGCGTCATTATGCTTCTTGTGTATCGCATGCGAAAAAAAGATGAGGGCAGTTATGCTTTGGAATATGGTGTGGACGGAAAGAAGCCACAGGGAAATTATGAATACACTAAAGGTGTGGCTGGTGGTAAAGAATATTTTGCATAATGTGGAACCTGAAAGTCTTACGGATGTTAAAAGCGATAAATGGTCTGAAAGTGTCAAATAACAGTGGTATACTGAAAAACATTCAAGAGACTTGCTGTATTTGATTTTGACTCAACGATTCTGCCCTCAAGTTTTTTTTTATTTCCGATCTTTAGCTTTTGTTTCTTCTCTACAATTGAAAAAAAGAGGTTTAAATACTATTTTATGCCTGATTACTATGTTCACCCAAGGACTGAAAATATTAGTTGATCATAGTAACTATTATATAACATCTAGGTTTCTTAACCTACTGGTATACGTTCTAACTTTAAACAAGTTAGACATGCTTGATCAAAAGTAGAAAGGGTGCAGTTAGATGTCAAATCTCAACTTCAACTTATTTATGGTACAAATGTTAAACATTCGAAACCTCTCCCTGTATGTTGTCTATATTTTTACTTGTATCGAGCTTGTACATATTTTTTAAGCTTTCATTAGATTAGATTGATAATTTTATATACACTCGACCACACGTATGTGTGTGGCATTTGTGTGTTTAAAATTATTTTCGCACATCTTGTATAAAATCTCTCTTCAAGACATAGCGATTCGCATTGCTTGGTCAATGGCCGTCCATAAAGTATTGTGCTCATCGTTTTCAATAAGGTGATCCCAGTTAAAAAATATTTCTTGCTTGGAATAGGTTCTACATGGATCATTTCTGATAGCATACCCAGCTGTGTACAATAAGGGTGAATATTTTTGACTGGTCTTTCAACTTATCTTCAGTGGTTTTATACGCAATGTTACAATCAACAAATTAGTGCTAAGTTGAATTTCAATGTTGAAAAAATAAATTTTACCAGTGGGAATACCCATTCTTATATTGATAAAATCTTATGAGGTAGTTGAAGTCGTGCATTTCGCAATTTTATTTACCCTTAATGTGAAATTATTTTTGTACCTTATGCTGTACACAGTGTTTGGTATTTATTTAATATTCAGTTTAGGACTCTTTCCATATGAGGAAGTGCTTTTAGGGAATTCTTACTGTATTTACGTTGGGAGCTTTTTTTACTAATGAGTTCCATAGTCATTATCATTTAAGCATATCATTAATTGTTCGGTACGTTCTTTTAGCATCAAATAGATCTACTCATATCTGGATAGGAGAATATTTACAGTAATAATTGATCTATTCAATACAATTTAGAAGTATTCAGCACTTTCCCTTTACTGTTTAAAAGCGAACACTATTCTGTATTGTTTTTAATAAAAAAATAAATAAAGATCTTAAGTGTAGGTTGTTTGGTTTTTGTAATGGAGGTTGCCAGTTAAATTATTGGGCTACGTGACTTGCTATTTATCTTACGAATGTTTAACCTTTAATCAATGCCTGGAGGGCTTGTTGTGTCAACGCTTCGCTGCCATTCTGAGTTGGCGTGCGAGACCTGATTCACTTAAATTTTTTTCTATTGAAATCATCAGACCCTGCCTTTCTGGTCCTTTTGTTGCGAAAAGTTTTATCTTTACCTGATAGATATTATGCCTCAATTATATTGTATGGTTTGAATCATGATGAATAACTTGATTTTCTCAGAACATGTGATTAAATGCTTATGAAGCACTACATCTTAACCATAGTAGATTAGTTTAAGGATTTTTGTATATCTTTGTGGTTGCTATGTACCCAGAAAATTTTTGTGTACAAGTTGTTGAATAAAATGTAGATGTGCTATTGATATTTTCATTTGCCACAAGAATAATACACTACTTCTGTCACAGTCATCTTGCATGACTGGTCAGTGTCACAATAATTAATATTATATTTAGTGATACAAAAGGATTTCAAATGAGGATTGATTCTTTTTCACATATCCCAGTTGAAGCATTTCCAAAAAACCGGACATAAATCTATTCTACTTGCTATAAAATTTTTCTGTATTAATTTATTCGAATTGTATTGAATGAAAGGATAATGTGGTCTTGTTAATATTATAGTTACCTATATACAGCTGTTAATCAATCATGCAACTATTTTGCGACATTGTGTTCATAAATTGTGTAACACCTAAATGATATTTTGTAGAGAACTCGGTATCGCCGATACATCGCTTTCGCGAACTAGTTTAGAATTCATCATCACAATTCGCATTTGTGACTTCTAATTTCAAAAGTATTTTTGACCACGACTCCGTGCTATGTGTTTCAGAACACTGTTATCTATATGTCCATATGTTTACTGTACCGGTACCATATTTTTGTGTACTTTGGGTTAATGTGTAACTAGACCTTTGGAACGGCGTATCGAGCAATTGGCTTACGCTTGTGTCACTGACCAATTTGCGGTTGAAAATGGATGGAGTTTGTTATATTCCTTTATGTGCACTTAATTTGATATCCAGTAATTGTTATTTGTGATATGCTACATTTATATAGTATAAGTTGTGTCATGGTCTTTCGTGTAGTTTGGTGTAACCTCCCTTATGATATCTATTTTAGGATCCGTCGCCTTACACCACTGATATCATTTCTCCAATGGCGACTCAAATTTCCATTACGCTGTTTTAAAACCGCGTTGTTTACCCTCGCTTGGTTGTCGTTCATTTGTATTTTTTTTTCTTTCTGTTCATTTGTCTCGCTCCAAAAACACTTTTGTTCTATCTTTATATTATCATTTGTTACACAGCTTGGCATTATTTTACTTAGTGGGAATGGCACTTTTGGTGATAAATAGCTTTTTGTAACATCGCCTTTTGTTTTAATGATACATGAAAGGATTTATTCTTTTGAAAGAAACGTTTTATTATTTCTTTTATTCTGTTTCCCGTTATTTCGATATGAGTGAAAAACCGAAAATCTATATTTCATCAAAATGTGGCAATTAGAAGTACTTATTACTAGGATTGTTTCATTCCAAATCAATCCGCGTAAATTTTCAAAAAATTGTTTGGCATTCACAAATCTTTCAAGGTAGCGTGAGTAAAGGTTGAATTTATAACTGTCTAGCTTTTTGAAATATTTTTCTGCCTTAGTGATTCGCAAAGTACCTTTGGGCTTGATAAAAATATTCACTGCCTTATTTCAAAAACAAGAACTACCTTGTATACTTAATTACCAGTTTCTGCGAAGCGCTACGTTGTTATCAGTTGTCAGCAATTTTATGTAACTCCTTGTTTAATTTGTACATAATTTGTTTGATTCTCACGGTGTTTTATCAAGCGTTTTTTGTGAGAGCTATATACACTATATAAAGCAATCTATAAGTACTTCCAAGGCTACGTGCGCTTCGATTGACTTTTCGTATTGGTGTGTATTCATTTCATCTGACGACCGACTGACCAATTGTTTTCTACTTTAGGCTCTGATGGTAGTTTCATTTCATTTTTAGCTATTTATCATTTCTATTTTCGATTTATGTGAAATTGAATGACTCTTAAATCTTAATAAGAGCAGATTATTCGATGGAAAACATATTACAACCTCCTCTTGTGTTTCCGCGCTCGTCCTATTATCTATGTAATTTCCTACGCGGATATTGATCCTAAAACCGTTTAATACATTTTTATTACGTGCTGAAAGAGGATTTATATTGTTTATTGTATCTCTCAACAGCAAGCGTATTTACTTCGTTACGTTCAGCATCAAGCCAAAATGAAAATTGCTTTTACTCAGACTCCCGCTGTTATGCGGCGTAGGATATTTAAAAACACTTCTTTGTTTTTCCATAGACGAATGTCGCGGTCTTTTATACTCACATAAAAACCCACCAGACACGTCAAAATGGCGGAGTGCGCTTTTAGTGCGATGCAATTTTTCGGGGTAAAAACATGAATTCTGAAATCGCAATATTCAATAGAAATGTGTTTGGAGCTCAGACTACTTTATATTCGCGCCGATTGTTATGGTAATTATGCATATGTACCATATTAAAATAAATAGCTCACGAAGCTATTTAAAAATTTTCCGACTGTCCAGCACTCCTTGCGTAATTTCCGAAAGCGGAAATGACCGGTCGAGCGAACCAGACAAAGGCTTTTGATAAGACGAATCTATTGAATTTACTTTATTTTGTTTTCTACGTTATTGTAGCGTAATGTAGCCTCCGGCGACATGAACATCCGAGAAATATAATGTTACATCTTGGTATGTCATAAAATTTGAACGTACGTGAACTTGAACCGCTTGTTTACCGCGGTAGAATTCTTACTTTTAGATCTCCTAATTTCATGATATTATCGCAATATTGTGCGTTTCAAAGATATCTACCGGTATGTCGTTTTTGGCATATTGCATACATTTTCCAATTTTATGCAAATGAGTTGAAATATTACGGAATGGGTTTTATTTGCCATATTTGGAGCATTGTAAAGCTATAGTCGTTAATTTCGTGATTGTGGTTATTTGATAGTAATCTTGATTTTGTTATTTTTATATATTATATTTGAATGGAACAAAACGCAGCTGCTGTTGTTTTTAAATTTTGACGTGATTTTTTCGAACTTGTAAACATTCTTTTGTTCAGCATATAAGCCTCACTGTATTGATGACTTTATGAATGTTATTCCTGTTCTCGGAATCAGCCAAGGGTGACTTTAAACGTGGTTCTGCAAATATCCTAATTGAATTTCTCTTTCATCGAATAGCATACTGTTTATCCGGTTATAAATAGTAATGAGGTGGAGCATGGCTCAACTACCTTGGTGCGCGATTCTTTGTAATAAAACACGGTGGAATATTTTGAAATTGTTTCTGCGACTGCCTGGTACAAACAAGCAGCATATTTCTGGTCTGTAATAACTGACAGAAATAGGTATCAGTGTTTATTCAACCACCCGGACCGATTGTCTTCTTTCTCCGTCGCTGTTCGTACCGACTACTCTGAAAACAAAAGGGTGCTATGTTGTCAAGTGTTCTTATGAATACCACGACCAGTCTGAATGGTCCTCCTATTTCCCCTATAATAGTTATCAATGATTTTCGCGAGGCGCAAAAATTGGCTGCATTTGGCATTCAGATTTAAACGAAATTCAGAATGATGACACATGTATACAGTTTTTCATTCATAGTCTTTTTCATATTCTCAGTGTAATTACTAATTATATCTATATCACAAAGTAAAATTCGGATGAGTGGATCGATTTAGTACACTCTAAATCGAAATTACGTTCATGACGGCCTCTAGAATATATCTTTTATTGGGTCATCTTTATTATTTTGTGCCATATTTATATTTTCATAGATAAATGTAAGGCCTGAATGTTTAGAATAAGGATTATTGCTATAGCGAGAAACAGGAAAACGCATGGTATTTTGTTCAATGTTCTTAATCTGCACATAACTTAAAATTCTTGTATTTGGTACCAAACAATAAAACTTCGAGTTATTTGATTCCCTTCTATCGATTTTATCGAGCGAGCGACGACGGCCTTGTCGACAGCAAGCCATTTTCATTAATTATTTGCGCCATGAACGTTGTTGTTAAATATGAAATGCTTTAATCCTAGTGGGTACATATCGAAAATGATGCTTTACCAGCCAACACCAATTGATGAATTTGCTCGGTCGATTTTAGTTTGCGCTCTGCCTATCTTATTTGGAATCGATCGATCTTCGACGTTTTGGTCATGCCAATTTGTATGTGCGTTGTACCTACCATAAACCATATATAAGCTAATTTATTCTTGTTATGCTTCAATGGGTTTATTATAATTTGAAAGCCTCGTACCGCGTTTGGCATGCGTAATTGAACCGTGGCCTCAGCGTTCGTACTCTTGTCGGAATTCCTTTTTCGTATAAACCTCACTGTACGCAGAACAACATTTTTAGGTTAAGTTGTAATAACCCACAGTGAGCTAAAAATTTGATTTCTGTTTTCGCCATATTTTACACAAATGAATCGACACGTATACTGTATAACAAAAATAGATTGGTGTTCTATAATTTTTTCGCATTCGTAGTGCATTGAGATCATTATATGTCATATTTCCCCTGTAAAAACTTTGAATTTATCGAGATTCGCCACATTTTGAATCGATTTCTCGTATAACTTTCGATTATTTGCAATTTCATGAAAATATCTCTGTAAATATTTTGGTTACATTTCTGGTACAAATTTTGTTGAATATCCCTATCGTTTGTTGCGTAACAATCGTATTCAAAATATTGTTGTTCGCATGTTATTTGCACTCATTTCTGTGAACCAATATTTGCTTGTAATTTGAGTTAATAGGTTTGGTTGGTTTCTGTGGTTACACGAAACCTTATTGGTATACTAATAAATCGTATAATGGTCACATAAA